CCCCCCCACGGGCCCTGCTCTGTGCCTGATAGGGGGGAGCTCCCCAACCCCCTGATTGGCCCTGCTCTGTGCGTGACAGGGGGTGGCGCCGCAACCTCCCCATCGACCCTGCCTTGAGTGTGACAGGGGGCGGTGCCCCAACCCCCCAATCGGCCCTACCCTGAGCGTGACTGAGGGTGGCATCGCAACCTCCCGATCCGCCCTGCTCTGTGCATGACGGGGCGGCGCCCCAACTCCCCAATCGGCCCTGCTCTGAGCCTGACCAGGGGCTGCACTTAGGGATTGGGCCTGCCCTCTGCCACCCGGGAGCAGGCCTAAGCCAGCAGGTCGTTATCTCCCGAGGGGTCCCAGACTGTGAGAGGGCACAGGCCGGGCTGGGGGACCCCCCCTCCCCTCCCCCCCGAGTGCACAAATTTTTGTGCACTGGGCCTCTAGTAAAAATATAAAATCTTTACATGTAAATTAAAAAAATACTCCAAAAGACATAGGGTAGCTGAATGAATAAGAAAACATGATCTATATATCTCTATCAATATGCAATCTATCAGAGACCAACCTTAGAACAAAAGACAAAAAAGATAAAAGTGAAGGTATGGGAAAAAAATTTAAATGGGAAAAAAATTAGCTAGAGTAGCAATACTCATATCTGGTAAAATAGACTTCAAATGAAGGCCATAACAAAGACAAGTCACTGCATAATACTAAAGATATCAATCCAACAAGGATATAAAACCCTGGTAAACCTTTGTAGCCAATATAGAAACACCTAAATATATATAAAAAATGAATATTATATCTGATATCAAGGAATTTATGGGAGAGATCAACAGCAATACAGCCATAGTAAGGAACTTACTGACATAACTGGATATATCCTCTAGACAAAAAAACAACAACAACAAAAAACAAGGAATCCAGAAACCAACAACACATGAGATGCAATGGATTTAATTGATATTTACAGAACATTCCACCCCTAAGCTGCAGAATATACATTCTTCTCAAGTGTACATGAGACATTCTCTTTTATTACACAAAATAAGTCTCTATAAGTTCAAGAGGATTTAAATCATCAAGCATCTCAGATCACAATGAAATGAAACTAGAAATCTATAGGAAAAACACAATCTTTCAAACTAATGAGGCTAAATAGTATGTTATTAAACAACTAAAGGCCCAGTGCACGAATTTGTGCACATTGAAAGGAAATTAATTAGAAGAAATATTTTAGAGGCTGGGGAGGGACCACGTGAGGTTGGCTCCAGGGCATGTCTATTCCACCTTGCCCAGTCCCAATTAGCCAGACCCCAACAGCAAACTAACCTACTGCCAGAGCATCTGCCTCCTGGTGGCCAGTATGCATCATATCAACTGGTCAAGAGGTCAACCGAATGGT